TTGCACTGAAATAGTTGGTTAACAATTTTTAGTTGCTCTTATGTCAGTAAACTATCATAATATTACTCGTTTAGTTGAGAAGAGCATCCCATTTTGAAATAAAAAAATATTTACAATCCCATACTCAAATTTGGAGGGGGGTACCTAGAATGTGACATTTCATATTTGTCCACTGCATATATTTTTCTACATTTTTGATATGTTTTTCAACTGATATCAATATACAATATAAGCCTAATTTAAAAACTGTTGCAATTTTGGGGATGTTAAACTTCCATTTGCCTAGCCTAATACTGTTCTTTCGATAGTTACTGTTGATTTCTGGCTAAAGTCAATATAATATCACAATAAATCGGTCAATCTCATATCGCCACTTGAAATGAAATGATTTTAAGGTGCAGTGATACTTAACAGGAAATGACAAAACAGGAAGTGACAAAAATGTGTCGTTTTTAGACATTTTTTTGAACAAAGAAAACATAGTTCTGCTTTGACCTCAAGTCAATTCAAATAGTTCCATATATCATTTACAGGACAATGTCCATTGTCAGAATGACCCTTAACATGATGAAATAACTTTTTCAGCCCGCTGAAAGTGTGACTGAATAATAGCTAAAAGTAACCCCTCGGGAAAGGTCACTGAACAGAATCTTTTGAATTTTTCAGAAAATGTACCGAATCTATTGCTCTAACTGATACAATCTTCGAAATTTTAGAAAATTGACTGAAATGAACATAGCGCTCATAAAAAGGAAAATAGATCGCCTTTCAATTCATCTTTTTCATTTTTTCTTTTTCTACAAATGATATCACATTTTCAAAGATTGTATTATTTAGGGCAATACATTGGGCACATTTTCAGAAAAGTTCAAAAGATTCTGTTCAGTGACTTTTCCTAAGCTCATACTTTTAGCTATTTTCCAGTCGCATTTTCAGAGGGCTTAAAATGTTATTTCATCATGTTAAGGGTCATTCAGACCATGTACATTGTTATCCTCGTCCTGTAATTGATATGTGCAACTATTTAAATTGACTAGAGGTCAAAGCAGAACTCTATTATCTTTGTTCAAAAATGTCTAAAAATGATACATTTTTGTCACTTCCTGTTTTGTCATTTTCTGTTAAGTACTACTGCACCTTAATTCTACATTCTTGTAAAAAAGTTATTCATTTTGATACGGGTTGCATTTAAATACATACTAGTAGGTATTTTTACAAAATACATACATACACAATTGAAATAATGCATACCTCTCCAATTGGATCAAGTCCGGAACTGTTTATGAAGTCTGCGCAAGCTTGTTCTCGGGCACTGGTTCTTCCCCATAGATCCTCACCAGGCCTTAGGTCAACGGAGATCTTTGCTAACTTCAGAAAATCATCAACTGGGAAAGGCTGTGTTGGACTCGGAATTTCTCCTGGCAGCTAGAGTATATTCATTTGCAGGTAAGAATAGTTTGTAAATCGAGAGATGTTATGTAAATGTCACTTCTCAGCCTTTTGGCTAAGATCAATGTGAAGTATCTGATCTTATCTGGTTAATATATATATTAGGCGGTGAAGAACATAGTTTGATTCTTCTAAAAGGCCCGAGTTCAGTTTAAACCACGTTTAGCTTAATTATTTTATTTTGTCCGATTATTTTTGAATCTATAGGACATTTAGAAGGCGAAATGACATGTTTTAAGTATTGTTTCTGTCATGTGATCATATTGTTACACCATAACGTCACAAAATAGCAAGATTGTGATATTCCTGGCTCCATAATATCAGAAATAGCATAGGCTGTTATTGTACACAATAGTTACGAGATAAAAAAAACATACATCAGTAAAAGTTGGGACGTTCTGTTCCTGTATATCAAATACAGGCTCACCGTTTGTGGCGTCTAACACATATAAGAATCCCATTTTAGTGCCCTGAAAGTATAGTTATACAAATGAATATTAATT